CTCCAGCTCCAGCTATCATCATCATGTTCATTCCTCTACCTTCATCGCTCGTCACCAGCGCCTTTTTATCTGTTGGCTTTTTCACGTCGCTTTCATCTTTAGTCTTGTCCATGTGTTTTGATGCGATGCTTGTTGGATTCGGGTTGTTTTGATTGGGGAGTTTAGATGTTACCATAACCCCACTAGCTTGCTGATGATTGCTATTGCTAATCATCGATTTAGCTAGTGTAACTTTTGATGTAGTCTGCTCTGACGTTCTTGCCGTTTTTGTTTGTGAAGTCGGTGCTGTTGCCGGCATTGCTTTTGTCGGAGTCGTAGTAGATGTGGTTGTTGTCGACGGTGTTGTTATAGTCGTCGTCGTTGTCGTTGTCGTTGTAGTTGTGGATGTTGTCGTTTTTAGGGTGACGACAATTTTCAGTTGATGACTTTGCTGGCCGACTGTATTACTGACACCAAGTGTCCAAGTACCTTCATCTGTCTTTGATACATTAAAAATATCCAAGGAGCCAGTTTTGGAAACATAGTAGTTCGAAGTGTTTTCGTAGGTAAATGCCACGTGTTTCCCATCGTGTCTCGTCCATGTCACATCCGGGTAAGGATCTCCTGTCAGCTCACATGACATACGAAGGGATGAAGTTTCCATGACTACATAGGTTTCAGTAGTGCAGTTTGTTATTTCGGGAGGCACGCACTTAAACTCTAAATCTGGAACGCGCAAAATCGGAGCATATTTTAGTCGTTCTGGTCCTGTACAAACTAAAGCATCACTTGCATACTCGGGATCCAATGCCTTTTTTGGTGCATGTTTCAACCATCGTAATTCACAATTACATTGTAACGGATTTCCTGACAATTTTATATTGACGAGATTTGCAAAAGAATCTTTGTAACGTTTAGGCAGTCCCTTGAGAAGGTTTTCTGATATATCAAAGTGTTGTAGGCTGGGAAACATAGCCCCGAAATCAAAATCAATTTTCCAAATCTTGTTTCCATGGACATCCAAAATGCGAAGATTTTTCAAATTTGTAAACATAACTGGAACTAAGCGTTCCAAGTCCATGTCGGCAATATAAAGTTCTTGCAGATTTGAAAGGCTATCGAAAGATTTTTCACTGAGCTCACAATGTGGATTCCCACTGATCTGGAGGGTAATTAAACTGGTTAGTCCCGCAAATGTTTTGTCAGTTATTCGGGGAATGTTGTTAAAGGACAAATCTAAATACCTCAACAAGCTACGTGAAGAAAATGTGTCGTCTGCGATTGTATCAATTTCACAATGAGACATCGTTAATGTAACCAATCCAGGCATGGATTGAAAGTCGCTCTTATGTAATGCTGGGATCTTGTTGTGTGTCTGGAAGTTTCCCGAAATGGAAAGAACTTGGACATCATCGGTCAGCGGTGACGGGAATGTTGAGAATCCTGCAATGCAGCTCATCACCTTGGAGTTGGGGCACGCGCATCCCCGTGGACATTGTCCAGATAATTGACCTCTCCCAAGTGAAACAAAAACCGCCAATTTGAGAAAAACAATCCAAATTAACGATTTTCCATTCATTTTTTCTATAAAATGTTCCAACTTAAAGAAATGTTGAAGAAGTTGCTAACTATGGTTTGTTCTTTCTAAAGTACTAGACCGACACTATGAAAAACTGATATGGTAAAGGCATATATACATACTTATATCTACGGAGGCCCAGAAACGACATCGTAAAATACAACGAAACGTTGGTATTTAATGAAATTATTATGAACACACGGAGTGATTATATCAACCAATGTGATATCAGATACCTGGCGTATTTAACAATGCAAAAAAATAATGTTTGAAGTTACTGAGAATCAACTTATATAAACATCGCACCTTACTGATGACCTTGGACAATGCTTTCACAGAGAGATTTGACCGTCGTTTGTCTGAAGATCTGTATCGACTCTTGACTTGGCTCTATGTTACATAAGATTGTACGGATGACACAAATGAAGTGCGCCTTTCAAAACCTCTTTGTTTGCTAAATGCTCCAATTATGGGCTATTTTGGGAAAGGGCTTTAATGTTGTAATAACTTTTGCCCAATCCTGTTGCTGATAATTATGGCGATAAATATGACGAATGTTTCTATCACAATATCAAAAATGGAGAACTCCTCGTCACAATATCAAAATACTTTGTGAAAAATAATAATTAAATATATATCTAATAAATGACAATGATAAAGTGAATTCGGAAATGTTAAACAGATCGGACCAAAAATTTGGAAATGGTCTTTCCGGAACTTCTCAAGAAATAGTTTTTAAAAAATATGAAGAGTCAAAGTCATATGTTGCCACCTTTCGGTACTTCCTATCACACCCGAAATAAGATATGTTAACTGATAAGCTACCATGGCTTACTCAGTCGTTTCCAAGAATTAATAAAAGAAACCTTAACAAGCAAAATCTAAGATGGCCGACTTGAAAGATTGCTACCTGTCGGTACTTCCTATCAAGCCCTAAATTAGATATGCACATTCATAACCTACCTGTGAATTCGAAATGATCCACTATGTCTTTTCCAAGAAGTAACGAAAACCTTGTCAGGCAAAATCCAAGATGGTCGACTGTATTTCTGTTCAACCCCTTCATCATGCACAACTAGGAACCGAGGAGAATTTTAATGAATTTGATATTTGATTTTTTTCAAAATTCAAGGTGGCCCCCTGACGGTTTTTTCGGTTGGACCCAGGATGAAATATGCACAAGTTCAGTAAGAATCAAATGAAGTCTGAATGTATATATTTGAGAAAGACCCTTCCGTTTCTTAAAAAAAATCCACAAAAAACAACGCTTACAAACTTTAACAGCCACTTATCGGTCATTACACTTTGCAGCTCCAGAAAGACACATGCACAAGGAGGAACAATAGGTGCTTACAAATAAAATGTGAGGGGCGATTGATTCAATGCTGCAGGAAAGTTAACGAATTGTTTAAAGACATACGACATGGTATTTGAACATCCCACTGTGACTGGACTAAGAACATTTGAAAGATGTATCTTATAACTTTAAGTAGATTAGAAGTACTTGTACATACTGACATAACATTAGAACATGCTTTAAGATAAACCTTATGCGGGGAAAGGTGGGTTGTAGCTTCATGTCCAAGTAGAAACCGATGTTTTTTTGGTGTGTGTTTAATGGCGTACTAAAACTTGGCGAAGACGAAGAGTTTTATACCAAGGCGAAAATAACCCTGGACAAATGGTTCTTCGTATGCAGTAGATATATATAAATATAATAATTTATCTTGCAAAATAATTTAAATTTAAAGATAGACTATTCACTGCATGAAATTTCTTTATAAGGATTGCACAGCTATTGTACAGATCGACATTCCTTCCCCTTCAAAAGTGACTGAACTTGTCACTAAAATGAGTAAACTGCAATCGAATGGTGTTATTTCTCAGTGGCGTAGCAAAACATTTTTAAGAGTGTATGCTTTCAAGAGAGAATCCAAGGGCGAAGCCCCGGTTAAGGGGGTCTAGGGGCGCAGTAAGGTTAAAAAAGTAGGGCAAATATATCTCAATGGAATTCGAGTGCATGCTTAAGCATACAAGCATACATTATTGCTACGCCTCTGTATCTCATTGTGAATCCGCTACATGTCAATCTGTCAGTGTTGATGACACTTACAATGGATATCCTTATGCTGTCGACAGTGATGGATTTCTTCATAATGTATTATCGCTGCGGTATCACAGTGACAATTCCTTCCCTGTCTAGGACAAGGCATTCAGATAAGTAGGTCATATGAGTGTATAACCGACAACAGACCTGTGGGGAAAACTTACAAAAAATATAACATGTACAGTCATGAAAATCTTTTTGTCCATAAAGAAAATATGGCCGTTAAATTGTAAGATGTAAGCAGGGATCAAAACAATTACCTCGATTTGAAATTTTAAAATCACTAGGCGGAATAAACTGTACATATTTTAGTGTTTATTTCATTTTCGCTTTTCTCGCGCCTAAGATATTGCCCTGAAATATAATTGCTTCCATTCGACTTTCTGACTTTTATTTATATAGCAATCAATAACACTTAAGAAGGATTCTTTCTGAAAACGCTACTGTCAGTTTTCATGAAAGTAATATATAGTACTTACTTGTGATGTAACTTTCATACCCGAACACTTGCCAACCTTTAATTCGCAACTACACCCATTAGTATAGCTAATTTGTCGCTTAGCTTTGCTAATCTGTATCAGAATTAAAAATTTGGGGACATGTTTTGGAACACGGTCTGTGAGGAATCCGGAGGCAGTTAATGAAGGATTTCTCATGATGAAAAACATGGCATATCGTTCAATATAATAGGATGTTAAAGATTCATCGAATGGTTTTTAAAAATACCCAGACTTCATGTTATTGTATATTGTTGTAACAACCTTGGTTTGGGTTGATAAAACAGAAAATCCTGACCTAGCGACTTGTCGTAAGCAGCTTCTTAAGGAGTCATGGTTATTTAGAAATCTGTTCAAGGGACGGAATCATTAACGACTTTATGTAATGTAAGACTTTATCTGAACTCTGGATCTAAAGACAACAAACCTATTAGATTAGATATATAACACATCGAAGGGCGGAAACAATAACTTCATCAATCAGTGCAATTGTGTTTATAACATGTTTTGATGACACGATCTTGTTGTCTAGCAGCCAGACTTTCTAATCATGCAGGTAGGCAGGGCCCGGTTTTAATGTGAAGGGTCTTTAGAGAATAGCTAGGACGTAAAATATTTATAGTTAATAAATTTAAAATCATTAAGGAGAGTGGTTTGAACCGATACTAGTGATAACCAATAGGCATAAGTAGTGCAGAGTTATAAATACCATATATCATCAATTATTTAATATGTAATTGGTGTTCTAAATTGCAATCAGTTTTGTTGACATTACACATGAGCGAGGCAGGATCGAACAATACATAGATTAATCTGTGCTCCGCAGTTGTATTCGATCATGGCGACTGCTAGTAACGATGACGTTCGGAAGGATGCTAGTAACGGTGACGTTCGGAAGGAGGATGATATTGCGAGCGGACATCAAACAAATATCCTTGTAGAGGACTTCCTGTCATCTGCAACCATTCACGGATTACATAAGGCAGCCTCCAACAGGAATCTTATTCGAAGGTAGTGTTAAGTATATCGTTAACGTCTGACGAAGTGGATATTTTTCTAAATACCTGTGGTCAAGGCCTCGTTAGAGTTTATGAAAGTAGGACTAAAACTTGGGGGGAAAAACCACAATGAAAATCAAAATACAATGCGTTTCCTTTTTATTAAGTTTTAACCATTTTGCTTCCCTTTCCATTTCGTTTCAGTCATTTTCATTTCTATTTTCATGAATGGACAGTACTCGAAATTAACAAAACAGGCTAAACAAACGTATCCCAATACTGCTTAGTAGTTGATCTTTACAACAGCTTTATCATTAAGGTCTTTGGTTATTTCACTGTTTTAAATTCAATCTTTCCATTTCTTTAATTTTCAGATGGGTTTGGACAGTATTGCTGCTAGTAATGCCTGCAGGCTTATGCACATTTACCTATCTGGAGCTGAGGATATACTTTCAGTTCGAGACGCGTACGAGCACTAGTGTTTTAATGAAAAATGAAATCGAGGTGCCTGCCATTACTATATGCAATGCCAACCAAGTGAAAAGCAGTATTTTAAACTGTGCCGATATGGAATACCTGATATTTTATCTAAGTGAATTGAGTAAATCAGTTACACTTCCGGTGTCATATCCGGTCAATGTTTCAGCTATTTCCGCTGATGACATCTTCAGATGTGTGCGCGAACACTCGCACGATTTGGACATGTTCCAGTCATGTTTCGTTGGGGGACGTCTAGTCAATTGCAGCCATATTTTCAAACCAAGCTTAACATTGATGGGAATGTGTTTTACATTTAACGGTGTGTTGCCCCAGAGGAAGACCCAAATGCACGGATATATGGGCGGTCTGAGGGTTGTTATCGATATTGAACAGGACCTGTATTTCTTCCCAGAAAAAATGTTATCAGGTATTAAGGTAATGTGAATAAGATATATCTAATAGTGGGCACACATCGAGTGGTTGTGGTATATTATATTTACCTCGTTCTAGTTGGTCATTTTACAACGTTACACAAATAAACAAATGAATAAAAACTTAATTTAATTTAACACGCACGATCTTTAGCGATTTTTTTTATATTAACTTTTGGAAAAATATCGAACGAGAAAGAAGGAAATATCATATCCAACAGTTTCCACCTCACTGACAGCTTTTCCGTTGTCAAATTGACTGCTTGTGTTGGGCGTGATCACGTGACCTTTTGAAATCAATTGATTTGTTGTCTTCGAAGAGGATAGAAATCCTAATGACAATCAATTCATTACACAAAAAATCGTAAACTGTTTATTCAACGTTCTAATTTCCAAGCGTCAAGCGCTCTTTCGGTCAAAGTTCATCCTATCAACCAATCAAAAAATGTTAAAAGTGTTACAAAACCTGTGGCATAACAGATATCTTTATACAATAGTCGGAATGATTAATCGATGCCGTGAGAGTTTAAAACATATCCACCTAATGTGGTAAAACACTTTTCTTTCATAACAGCAATCAAAAAGGTGTTGATTTATGAACGTAAACATTCTGTATGTGTTTGTGCGTGTTGCTTTTTCCGCGAAAATGCGGAAATTCGTATAACAAAACATGGGAAATTTAAACAATCATTCCAGACGACAGCTTTTTTTGTTTCGCTTTTTTTTCGCGGCGACAAAAAATGCTTTAATTCAAAGTGTATAAAATAATCTTGCAATACCATGTGACGATTGTTACTTCCGAAGAAAGTCGGTTTGATTACTTCCATAATTTCTTCCATGATTGCCCGCTTTTGTATCTCAAATAATCTTCCATTACACAGTGGAACCGTCTTTTTTCATTTTCTATTTTTTTCCCTTTAATCTTGTCCCTTTTTTTCTGATATTCAATACATCAATACAAAGGGGATATGTTTACAGGTACTTCTGCACGAGCCTGAGGAGACACCCGTTCCAAACATGCGCAGTTTCCTTGTGGGTCCTGGTTTATCAGCGGAGGCCGTGCTTTCTAGGAACAAGGTATACTCGTTCGTGGGTCGACAGTCTATTTCAGATGTAACACAACATTTAATTAATCAACGGTAGTATTTTTTTCAATTTGACAACTTTCTCATCTGCAGACGCCAATGATATACTAGATTGTCTGTAGTAGTTTTTCTATTCCCCGCTAAACTTTGAAAATTAAAATACCCCACAGCCTAGCAGGGAAAGTTTGTACTCCGGAAGGTACTGGAGTCTACATGAAAATGATATGAGGAATAATAGCGTGAATGACGTTTCACCTGATATGGTATGATAGCGTGAATGACGTTTCACCTGATATGGTATGATAGCGTGAATGACGTTTTACCTGATATGGTATGATAGCGTGAATGACTTCTCACCTGATATGGTATGATAGCGTGAATGACGTCTCACCTGATATGGTATGATAGCGTGAATGACGTCTCACCTGATATGGTATGATAGCGTGAATGACGTCTCACCTGATATGGTATAATAGCGTGAATGACGTTTCACCTGATATGGTATAATAGCGTGAATGACGTCTCACCTGATATGGTATGATAGCGTGAATGACTTCTCACCTGATATGGTATGATAGCGTGTATGACGTCTCACCTGATATGGTATAATAGCGTGAATGACGTCTCACCTGATATGGTATAATAGCGTGAATGACGTTTCACCTGATATCGACTATAAAGGATATACATCTTTGTAAATTAGAATAGAAAGAACCTTGTATTGTTCCTGTACATGTTTGAGGCTGTATACCATGATGCAACTGTTACATGTTTTACTCTCGCGTCGTCAACTGTGAGACTCGATTAAATTTACCTAATCTGTGCATAAACTATCAGACCCCGGTGCCAACACAGTAGTAAAGGGCATATTAACTGTTTATAAATACTGATAAACTACAGAGAATATTTCTGTTTTTTAATTCTAATCTTTCTCCAGAGGATATTACTACCGTCGCCCTATGGTAATTGTGTGGAGAGAGAAAGCGACATCGAACGACTGACAAGGTTCTCGAAGTATTCCACTACAGCCTGCGGGATGGAGTGTTTCCAGAATGCAGTCGTGTCTCGCTGTTCTTGTCGACACTACTATGTAAATGGTGAGTGTGCTAGTGATAAATCATGAGGACTCGTAACAATGTTATCTCTAGTACTCAACTGTATGTGTAGTTCAACATTGGAAATATGCCAACACTAAGAGCCATCACAATACTAACTTGTGGTATGTGCGATACGCTCATCTCGATTCCTCGACCTTGTCACTCATTAGTAATTAAGTTAATTTATTTCACCGAAATCATGATCTTTACTTTGATAATTTGTTTTCGTGATGAATGCCTCCTTCCTTATTTATGGGGTTATCGCCCTTTATTTTTCCTGTCCTACCTATTCGACCGTCGATTCCTTGTGGGAGTCAGCATGATTTATGTAAATTAGAGATCTAAGATCACATCGCGTTTTTTTAAATAACTAAACGTTTTTACTACATAAATGACAATCTGTTTCACAGTTTAACAACTGCCACCCGACGAAATACTCGTCTATCGTACTTAAAGTGTCAAGTAATGACGACTTACCTAGACAGATATATGCTGATAATCACTCTTGAATTTCAATAATTCGGGTCCCAGGTTGGTAGTTCGGGATACTGGCTAGTCATCGCCCGTTAGTGCTTATATCCCGTGTTGATCAGATAACCAGTATCTTAATAAATGCATGTCGTTAGTACCCTTCTATAGCACGTGCACACGTTTGATTCACATGTGACTTTCTATAAAAGCTAATATGTATGAAACTCGACCAAAAAAACAAACAAACCAGCATGTGTTGAACGCACGTGTACGTGCTCTATCTTGCTTCACCCAACTTTGTTTTATTTGTACAATTGGGACTAAAACTACGGGGACATAGAAAGTGGGAAGGGGTGAGGGTGTATGTCTATCAACACATTAGATATGCATGATCTTGGCGGACTTTTGGAAATATCGGGGAGACAATGAAGAAAAAAAACTTAAAAAAAAAAAACGAATAGAAGAAACGGACTTTTTGTATTAAAAACTTCGCGACATAGTTACAGAAATTCGATTTAAACAGTTCTGTTGAAAAAAAAAACTTCTCCAGTACGAACTTTGTTCGGTTACCCAGACAAGGATAAGTTTTGAGTCACATGTCCTACCATGAAGGTTTTCTCCGAGTGAGCTGACCTACAAATCTGGATCATAAATACTGATAGTCTTTATAAAATAGAGCATTTGATTTGATTTGTCCTGTGTTCTCATCCATTAACATCTCCACCATTTACAGGACCCGAGAGACTGTGCGGCTACGATGAATTGATTAACTGCTACAAGGCAAACACAGGCAAGTTTATCAACATCGTCCTGTTATGAAACGTACCATGCTATAAGTGAATGAACCCAATATTGATTAATTCTGAATCTGTTCGAATTCAAGAAAGATGCACCATATCGCTCATTCTGATCTACCATAATTACTTCCCTTCGATAATCTTGATAGCCGATTGTGACAGAGAATGCAACTCGCCAGTCAAACCCAAATCTGGGAAAAACAAAAACAAATTATTAACACTGCATTCATAAAAATAAATATCGTTGAATTGTTTAATCAACCATCCAGTTAATTTGAAACAAAAATATCGTTATAATTAAAGTTGTGATATGTTAGATCTGTATATAGAGAACTCCACGGGGCTGTCGGAAGCTGTACAGAACTGTCGGACATGCCCGGAGCTATGTATCACTTACTCCTACGACTGGTCGCTATCTTATGCTCTCTTCAGCTCTGGCTTTGTCAACAACAGACTCGTCAATGCAAGCATCTTTCGTGAGGAATCCTATATACGGTAATTTTGCTTCGGTAAAATTTCGTAATTATTCCAAACCCATATCAGAGTTGACTTGGCGGGAATTTTTTAACTCTATTATGTAACTAACAGTGTCCAAATTTGAACCGTGGGGATTGGAATTCGTAAATGTTAAATCAAATTTATACCACACTTTAGGGAAATGAGAAATTCCAGCAGGAATAGATAAAAAAACGAGAACAAAATGAATATGTGAAGAAATTCTATCAGTTTTGTTTCCCACAAATCGACTTAAAGGTACGGTTTAGTCTACACCTTTGCTGTCCTCTATTATAGAGGGGATCGCAATTAATGTACTCCATTGAGAGACTGCTGAACAAGTGGTAACACGAATAAACATCAAACGCTACAATAGGTTAAACAACTTGTTTATTCTCAGCTCCAACTACATAGATCTGACGCTGTTCTACAACTCTCTGTCTGAAAATGTCGTTGAAGATGTACCTGCCAAGATGATAAACGACATTGTCGGTAATGTATCATTACGTACTTACAATAATGCAGTTTATAATTAAACTAACGGTACACTGTATTGTAGGTTCGTAGAAATGTTTGGATATACAAGGAGTATCCGAGTTTGTCGGAAACCCTGATTACGGTCTCCACCAGACTTGGTCTCAAATTAAAGAACACAACATATCAGAAACAAATATTACTGGAGTCAGTAATTCAATCCATTTGAAACCAATCTGAATAATTATCATATAGATTTTTATAACAACTTTCTAATCGGTATATAACCGGTCCCTGGATTCATAGGAGTCATAATATAAACATATGAAGTCTTTATTGATGTTTTTTAAGAAGTCCAGACAAGAGTTTTGAAATGGGGCTATGGACCTTCTGTTGTAGGCAATGTTGGTGGACACATGGGTATGTTCCTGGGAGCTAGTCTTCTGTCTATTGTAGAGCTGGTAGAATTTGCGTGCTTACTGATAGCGAAACAAAGAAGTGTGTCACCAACTTCCACAGACAAGAAACACAAGCTAAGTACCGTCAGTATAACCAACTCTACTAAATGCAACATCACAAAGGACACGGAAAATACCCTGCACTTGGAGGAAACATAATACTTAAAACGCCGGTTTTGGGTAAGAATAGCATAGGATGGACTCAACATTTCCCAAATACAATTGTCACAGCGGTCAGGTTACAACCTCTCCCTGATATTATATGAAGTTAGAGTCGGGACGTTTAGGCCAGGTGCATGCGGAAACACAGGGTTATCACTTTAAAGGCCACTGGGATAAATCGTGTTTGAAACGTTGTTTTTCTGAAGAAGATGTCCAATGGGCATGTAATGCTGACCTGGAATTCATTGAAAACACAATCAACGTCCATCACAGATACCTTAACACATACACCTTTGGCATTCAAACACTGGGCACATCCAATGAATTTAATCAGTTTCCACGACTAACTTCTAACACTTACCTCTAAACAGTGACAGTTCGACTATAGGTAAACGGGTTTTGACATAGTACCTCATTTCCATCAGCTATCATGATGATTGGACTTCGGGTTAACCAGACAGTCATTTACAGGTTTTGATAAATTTGACCGGTGTGACCTTCGTTATAGTAATCAGTCTTAAAACATCATGAAAATGTTGATATTTTGTGTCAGTGTTTGTGATTTTGATGTTGTATGCGAGATATGTGCATGATTGTGGTGAACGTGAGCTTGGGTTTATGTAGGTTTTATGATGAGGGTGTATGTAACCTTCGTTTGTGTGCTTTATGAACATGAGGGTGTATGTGAGCTTGGGTTAATGTTTTATGATCATGAGGATGTAAGGGAGTTTTGGTGTGTGGGAGGGTGTGTATATGATGTTCATTATCAATCAATCACAAATCTCTTTTTTCCGTTTGTAGAGATGGTCCAATAGTGACATCATGAATCTTTTGAGTGTGTCGTGAATGTTTTTGTACATTGATAAAGAAGACAAACTATTATTGAGTCCTGCACAGCTGTGATCTCTTTAATACAAGACAAAAGGTACTTAATAGTCACAATTATAATTTAACAATTCGGATCATAGAGTTCCATCCTAGCAGCCTAATTACTTATAATTCTATTTCGTCAGAGACCAATGAAGACCAATTAAATAACAATGATCAGCTTTCTTTTATAACATCTTCTTCCATGGCCTTTGAGAATATCGCTATATAATAAACAAAATGGGAACCGTAAGATTTTGTAGATGTTTACACCAAGGCCATACCCATTCTTTGAATGAATTAGAAATCCATATTAATGTTCTCATATTTGAAATTATATTTATCGAAAACATGCAAAATTACATTTATCAGAAAGTATATTTGCAAAATTTAAGTTAAAATATACAATATCTTTAGTTCATAGCTCATTCACAACAAAGCTGTTGTAGATAATTGTAATCAGTTTCACTCCAGTTCTTTCCAGCAATGCTTTGGGAAAGTTTTAAAGAATTTTGCTAAACACACTGTAAATATTGATATATATTCACCAGACATTTCACTTACTGTATTCATATTGCCCTAGCTTCCTTATAATTGATTAAATTTTCGGTTGAAAAGTCACCAAATCTTTCATGCTTGTCCCATTAAATGCCCACGTCTCTAAATTGAATCATAATTGATGGGTTATCTCCCCTTTCTGGGATTACTCCATTACACATACTATTTTGAAAGTGTTATTTAGATATCTTACTTATATACATCTAAAACTGGTTATAAATTTAAGACCAGAAATGACTAAGTTATCATGTACATAATATCTAAGTTACAAAATAAAGGTGATAACTGACATATCCTGGTTTGGGTTATAATGTATGAAATGATCTCACACTAAAATAAATGCATTAAGGTGATTTGATTCCTTTCAGGAGACAAGATCTGAAACAACTACATACAGGACACAAGAAAAACACCATATGACTATTTTTGGATTACATATCAAATGAGGAAGTATAAAATGGATATTCAGATAGACTTACTGCTTTGTTAAAAAACTTTGAATTTTTTTAAGGCAAATTTCTTTGTCTTCACACAACCAAAGTGGAAAAAAAAACAAACAAAAAACTGTCGAATAATTGCATTACTCTTCAACAACTTAGATTATAGTTTATCATAAGGTCTTTTGCCCCTAAATTGTCATAACAATCCTTCACTAGTATTTGTACCATCCAGAAATCATTAAAACAATCCTTCAGTAGTATTCCTACCATCCAAAAACCATTAAAATAATCCTTCACTGGTACTTGAATCATCCAGGAATCATGAAAATAATTATACATGTATAATCCAAAATCAGCTCATAAAATTTGCATCCTTTGAAGATAAAGAGGTACAGGTCTTTTCTCTTACTGTGGTTTATTTTGTGAAATCGTGCTGAATGAATAATGATTTCTAATTACTTATTATACAGCCTCTCCAATAACTCTTTCCACATTTCCTGCAATACAATACACTTAAAACACCTAGAAATCAGATGACAACACTAAGACAATACAATCAACTGGAACCTCCTTATATGTTTCCATGCTAATTAACTTTGCAATTTATTTAATTATCTTTCAAAAATCATGCTGTAAAACTCTACAAACACAAGTTCATGGCTTGAAGATTTGTGGACTGAATGCTGCAACAAACATTTGGAAATTTCCTTGGGCATGAACATCAGCAAATCAATAGTGTCTGTGTAGGCTCATAAGAAGTGTAAGAGGTACTTTGCATGCTTTCAACAAAATTCAAAATATTGGGTAACTTTTAAAGTCATAAACATATACAATGAATGTAACCAAAACACAACTTTGAACAGGTAAATTCATTTTATCAATGAAGAAAACAATAAATATACACATTTTAATGTACTGATATGCACTACTTTCCCCAGTTTCTGTGTAAATTATTCAACAATTTGATAGCAATAAAGTAGATCAAATATTCACATAAGTGATTACCACAATGCTATACTGAACACCAGGATTTCTTAAGTTGGTGAGACTCTTTGATAAAACAAATAGAATTTATCCCAATTTTGGAAATGCGTAAATAACTGAATTTTAAAGTGGAATGTCATTCAACTCAAAAATGATTCATGGAGTTTACCCTACAGTTTTATTGTGGCAAAGATCATCAACACACTATAGGTACCACAAAAGAAATAACGAATAAACTGCAAAAGGTCATATATATCATTAGGGCAAAAATTCGGCAATTCTGCAATTCCCTCAAAACATTACACAAGAAAAGAAACCTAAGTATTTAGGTTAGAATGTAATAATTATTATTTAGCAGTAAATTCAATAAGTGTGATCAAAGTAATCTCCTTAACTATCATTTTCATTTCCCATGATTTGAAACAACTTCATTTATACACACAGGAGAGCAAATGAATATATCATGTATATACCTCTATTAGTACAAGCAGTGCATAAACTCTATATCCTTGAGAAATAACGATTCTTTAGTTTAATAGCACTACTTAAATATCTTGGTAGCACAAAAAAACGATTAAAATAAGAACATATTTATATAAAAGTCGTAAAATACTGACAAAGAACAAGGTGTGCCAAAACATTTGAAATTCCCAGTCAATTGTGTTTAATAAGACTAGTAAAATAATGTGAAAACAATTTTTGGGTCTGGTAATCCTTAGAAAAGATTAACACTGACTGAAAATATCTACTTACAAAAAGTGTAACTATTGTCACATTCATAGTACTTTACGATCAATTTTATAACAACAATGGATCCTTGTAATGTAGACCACTATAGGAATTTTGTTTCCCATTTATTGTGCGTGTTTAAAAAAAAAGAATCTATGCATAATTCATTTTCACATATCAGCTCTGAAGGATTGTAGAAGATACAAGAGTAATGACGAGACTGTTCCTGTTGTCACACGAGACAGCCACATTGTGGAGGAATCACCTCACTGAAAGAGAATATAAAATGCACATTAGCAACAATTCAGACAGTCTGAAGAATTTTTTCATCCTTAACCTTGATAATAGAATCTTATTACACAAAATATGACCTTAGACCTTAATGAATTTTGTTGAATATTTATCTCAATCTAATCACATAGTTACAGTTGGAAGTGTTTAATAACTCTGCACTTGAACACATTGAACATTAAGTCTGATAGGCCAATTTTTGCACAAACTTTGGTGAATCAATTTGACTGACCATTGGTGGAGCCCCTGGTGCCCTTGGTCCACCACCACCAAACTTGGAGCTCATCTTGTTGATGAGGGCTTGGACTTTGGGATTGTTCTGATACTTGATCAGATTCTCAGGGTGCTGACTAATATCCTGGAATGCTGCTGCCACCTCAGGATCCTGTAACCATGGAGACAGTCTAGATATATGTATGTATATATATATGTATATAATCAAAATAAGAGCAACCTTTAGCATGCCTTACAGTACAGTAATTGTGATTTAGAATTTTAATTGCAATGCTATGTTTTGTTCTTATATTTATATATATACACACACCATTACAAATATGTAACAAAAGCAATCATGTAATTTCAATAACTTTAAAACATTCAGATTCAGATGTGAAATATGAGCCATATGGTTTACACTTTCAAATCCCAGCAGAAATATGTTTTTTTTCCTCCTGTTCTTGTGGAATACAAAGTACATGTTTCGTAAAATATACTCAATTTTCAAATTTTTCAGTTGGACTTTCACTAGAAATTTATCACGTCTCTGATGAGGAGGAAATGGAGTTTTGAGCTGTAATAAGCATTACAGTGTTCAAGAGTTTGCTGGGAGGCAAGATCATTACAGAATTTAAATACTTACAGAGAAAGCTTGTACAATTTCAGGATCATTGAGTATGCTAGAAAGATCTGGACCACCAGCACCTATTCAATACAAAATGAAACTGTAAATATGTATTGCAGATTGTTTTCTTCAGATTAGTAAATACAGATGTAGATAAAGATTTAGTATAACCAATCTAAAGGAAAGCCATCTGGGTAGGTAATGGTTCGGAATCAGGATGAGGGGGCCCACAGATGATACATCTATAACTAGTAGTAAAACAAGTAAAACAAAATTGACTGTAGGAATCATACTTTGTTAGTTATTTCACATAGTTTAACAAATAATCATACTTCTTTGCTTCAGTCTGATTCTTAATTGCTCATACATTTCAAGTCTGAGTGTATATATACAGCCAAACAGACCTGCCAATCTCAAGTCATCTGATACATTTTGTACCTAGGAGTACAAATGCTGCCTCTACATGTCATTTGTTTGAAGGTGATACATGATGTGGTCATCAAACCATTACAAGATACCTAGTTCTGTGATGATGAGAGCCTCAATCTACATTCACAAGCAGGACAGATGACTCAAATTTGTTTTATAACTTAAAACATAAAATCACAAACATCATTTCTTCTCTTACTTACATATACAACACTTAATACAGTAAAATAATCTAACCCAGTGAACAATATTTGACCGTGTGCAAAATAATCAATGGAAATTCTTTAACTGCATGTAAAAATCTCCAGCTTTATGCAAGACAGATCATACACACCTGTCCCAGGGAACCCGCCTGCTCCTCCAGCTCCTGGGAATCCACCCGCTCCTGGGAATCCACCCGCTCCAGGGAAACCACCTGCTCCTGGGAATCCTCCTGGACCTCCTGCTCCAGGGAAACCACCAGGAAATCCACCAGGAAAACCCCCAGCAGACCCAGTATTGGCTCCGGAACTTTGCTACAGGGTGGAGTTATCAAAGAATTAGTCACTAAAGATGTGAAGTTCTTGTATATATGTAATAGGTGTATGAATTCAAATTTTAAACATTCCTTGAAAGTATCAGAAACTCATAATTGGTAGGTTCTGTTCATGAAAAACATTTGCACAATCATGCTACAAAATGGCTATTGTAGTTACCATGTTGAAATTTTGAACAGGCTGAAAAATAACAACAAATCACCTCTTCCTTTTCCTTAGCAGAACATACTCCAAATATTATTCTCACTGAGGTGAGTGAAACTTGAGAAATAGTACATACTATTTTTTTAGATAAGTTATGTTAGATTTTGGACTAAAGCAAGAAAAGAAGATTTGGTCATGGCAATCTCAGGATAAATTCATGTATGTTTGATTTTAGTTAGTTAGTTAGTTAGTTACAGGTTTTTCGGTTCCCCAACTCCTTCCATTGCTGAGTACCGTCTTACCAACAAGCATTTGATATCATTACTACTCAATGATAATGTTTCAGGTCATATTTGATAGAAATCTACCCTGGTATTGAGAAGGAATAGCATTTTGGAGCAAAATATGTCTAACTACCCCTTTTGGGGCCCTGCCCCAAAACCCTAGGGATCAAATCATACTTCTGAATTTAAAAATGATTCTCCGCCCATAATGACGTTTCATACCAAATTTGGATAAATCTACCCAGGCATTAAGAAGGAGTAGTATTTTGAAGCAAAATATTGTCTAATTTCCCCCTTTAGAGCCCCGCCCCATAAGTCCCTAGGGGTCAAATCATATTTGAAAAATATTTGCCAACCCCTACTGATACCACAGACAAAATCTGAATGAAATCCATTCAAGCATTAAAGAAAATTGTGTTTTGAAGTGAAGTATTGTCTAACTATCCTTTTGGGGCACCATCCCCAGGTCCCTGGGGTTGAATCAACTTTCTGGATTTATAAAATGAATCCCAATAACACAAGAGTGTTTCAGATTAAATTTGGGTGAAATCTGCCATGGTGTTATGCAGGAGTAGTGCCAAGCTACACAGCTGAGGTTTTCACCTGCAGTTACATCCTGGGCAGGTCAGTGTGATATGAAGTACAGGGTATACTGCACATACCAGACCTAAAACTTATATCAAAAACAGGGCGTTTATTCTACCTGCTTTTGTCTTTCATATTCTTCCTTTGCCTTTCGTAGTCTTTCCTTGCGAGCCTTAATTTCTTTTTCTTCCCTCTTTCTTTCATACTTTCTTTTATGTTCCATAATTTTCATTGCCTAAAAAAGGGAAATAATACAATTCACAGTAAGTTTAAAAGCACTGCCTGAAAAGAAGCTATACTCATCATTAAAATCTATGTGTTTAAGCTTTAGGATTTGATTACAGTCATATTCATCATAAATTGTAGCCAAACTCTTTAAAAATGTCTTGATGGATAAAACATTTGAATGTGGTATCAACACTCTTTTGTTTGGAACTTCCCAACTACATTTTGAAACTAAGTACAACAAGTGATAATAAAATGAGAAAAAGCTATCTTTTGATGTATCAATATGAATTACCACATTACAACTGATTTATTCAGAAAAGATGCATAAACTATAAAAGTACAAAAGGCTGTCAAACTATCTTATGTATGTGTATTTTATCCAAAACATTTTTACCCCAAAAATTTTATCTACTTGCATTAGGTTTAACAGCATGTAAAAGTTCATCGGCCAATTCATCGAAGTCTAGTTTACAGGCCATAGTGAGGTCTTGGTAGGCTTCTTCATATTTCCCCAGCATCCTGTAAACAGCAAGTACAACATACTATAAAGTTTGGAGGAGAGAATAAAATTGTGAAATAATTGATACAAAGCTACCTTGAATATTCAGCTTAAAACAACACCCTAATATGTTAACAGAAATTACTTAACTTTAAACTTTTATGAAAAACATTTCATTATTTTTTTCTAATAGAACTTTTATGAAAAACATTTCTTTTTTCCTTTATGCTTTTGATAAAACTCAAATAAACTTATATAAACAGAAAAACGTTTACAATACCATAACTACAAATCACACCAATTCACATGAACAATGACATTACACTACACGTGTTCAAATAGGATGTCTGAACAAAAAAGGTATTGTACAGGTTTAATGTAACAGTATTAAGAGACTATATATATACAGGTTATGGAGTTAAATATATCTTTGGGTGTTTAATTTTGGTAATTTTCCATCAATCAACTAGATATTTTGTATACATACTTATAGGCATTGCCTCTCCATTTGTAGGGCTGGGCGGAGTCAGGATTTAGAGAAATGGCCTTAGTACAGTCATGTATAGCTTTCCTTGGCTTCTTCATCTTTATGAAAATACTGAAGCAAAAAGTTCAACATTTGAAATTTCATGAAAATGATACATTGTAATACATAATAGGTCAGTATACAAAGCATTTGATTAACATGTGTCCATTCTTCTGAAGCTCTACCAACAGTGAAAGGAATTCAATACACATGTATTGATGAAATATTATTTCTATAAAACAACAGCAGATCTGTTTATAACACTACAATCAATCATAAGGTATTTATACACAAGCTATAAATAGAGTGTATCAGGATTTACTCCTTATAATCTGAACAAAAAAATTGTAACAACAGCTGACTGTAAACATATTTCAGACAAGATATTACATTAAAACATGACTGCTATAATTGCAGTTTCTATATGTCAATGATGTGGTAATTATTGTGACTTCTGGTATTCATAATTGCTTATTTGTTCAAAATAGATATTGCACTAAGATTTAAGCCATAGTAAGTATGATTCTGAGCTGTCTGTACTATACCCTGAACAATTCTTAGATTGACCAAAGACCATAATGAGCAACCTTTGCAGAGATGCATGAAATATTGAACAATTAATTTGAGAAAACATCTTTTCTATTAAAACAGTTGGTAATATACCTCAATTAAAAGCAGATTGATATCTTACATCTGACCTGTAAGTGATTTGTGGTTCAAATTAAGAAATGTGTTATTTCACATAATATAATCATACTACACAGAGAGAGAGAGAGAGAGAGAGAGAGAGAGAGAGAGAGAGAGAGATGCAGAAAAATGACAGGTTCCAGGGCTATCGATGATCAAACAACATCTGTTGGAAAACGGCCTAACTTCCCTTTCACTTTTGTCTTCATTTTTAATATTGAGGTATTGAGAGCAATGTCATTCATGAACATAAATATCTCAAGAAATACAGGGGCTCTGTTTTATCATAAATGTCATTCAAAAGATTGGACAAACTTACCTGGCCCTCTTCGCATAAAGAAGAGCAGACATTGGGTTAGACTTGATGGCCTCTGTGAATATCTTAACAGCCTCATCCCATTTACCTATTCAATAAAGAAACATACTAAAACTCAGTTTTTCATACAAAGTGACCTTGACTATGAGAACCTAAATCGTAAGATAATCTTAGGCCAAAATACTTATATGAATTTACATTCCAGTCTTGTAGAAATAAGAAAATGGTAGGATGAAAAATATTTTTGTTGTACATTGGCAAGAATTATAGGCTCAAGACATTGAAGTTATTGTTATTTAAGGTATTGTTGGTCAAAACATTTGTGTGATGGCCAAAAAACAATTAATCTCTAAGGGAACTTAGCACTGCATGACCTTTATACCGTCTTTGAAAGTTTATTCATTTCCTTTTTCCCTCTTATTTGCACTTGATCATATGAAATTGAAAAATAACCCTGAACAAGTAGCAATTATCATTTTAAACTGTCAAATTCAAGAAAGTCTCATATTGGCTATTTTGTTTTTCAGGTCATTTCTAAACTTAAAACATTGCAAAACTTTGTTAAGAAGCAAGTGGAATCTACAAAACATAGCAATAACAAAAAAATCAAAAGATGGCCGTGCATCAGCCATTTTTGTTTATCAGTCCCAAAATACCTACCCCTTATGATTGAGTTTCTTGAAATAAGAAATATGCAACTTTCATCAAAACAAAGCAATAAAAGGGGACCTGCATCTAAAATTTGACAAAATAAAACTAGACGACAAGATGAGGATATTAACACCATGCTTCCATTACAAAATGGCAGCAACATATTATTATATATGTAATGATATCTTACCATCTGACATTGCTGCCATGGCTTCTGATCTTTTGTCATTGGCATCATCCATCATCTCCTCTGTAACCTCTATCGACTCATCCCCATACACAGGAAGTTCCTCATCATTATCCTCTATCACACCTTCCATGTCTAATTCTATAAATAGATATCTCAAAGGTTAAGTTCAACAATCATTGGTATAAGTATCCATCTGTCTTGAAACACAAGTACAGCAGTACAATAGACTTTAGGGATGAAAAACTGAATTTTCCCTCAAATATGCCAAAATTTTTGTGACTAAATTTTATCTTTTAGTTCAAACAATAATTTAATTGTGGAATATTAACCTAAATCACTCTCCTCACTCTCTGGCTCTTCCTCAGGTTCTGGGGCAGGTTCTGGGTTGGATGTAGGTATTTCTTCTGGTTCTGGGGACTAAATCATTAAACAAAAAAACAATTTAAGTTGTTTCCTCATAATTTTCTGAGAATGTGTAAATCACTAATCACATATATTTGAAAGCTTCAGCGATAGGAACACCCACTTATTTCCTGTATTATCTATTGATTACTTACTCCCTAGCCATATATATAAACTAGCAGTAAAAACCTCAATACACAACAACTATAACCAGTCAAGTATTAGGAGAGATTCATCATAGTATGATTAAAGTTTAGAAATATCTGGAACTTACAGCAGCCACAGAGAGGATTTTACACTGTGGATTTTTGTTGGTTTTTTTTTTTTTTTTTTTTGAAAATGGCTTGAAAAAATAATCCCGTTATTGATCTGAAACAGACTTTCTCCTATTTTCAAATCAAGGTTTAAATTCTACTAATGACAGACATCAATGGCAATGGTGCCATCTTTACATGTATGTCATTTGATGACATTTGCAAAGAAGATTATTGACACTGGCCAGGATGTTCTTGAAGCTTGTGCGTTGTATGAGCTGGTTGTTCTGATTTTACAACCGTTCTTGACAAGAGAGGTGATAACTATAAACACAGATGGTGCAGTCGCCTGCAGCTATTGACAAGTGGTTAACAAAGAGAGGTGCATTTCATTCTATATTTACTGAGGTAGACATATACAAAATTATATTTTAACACACAATATTTTCAGTGCATTAGTTATTCCTTTTAATCAACATCTGCTGTGCACATGGAAATATTTCTTACAGCATTTTGATAAAAATTGAAGTGTAAAAAACCTGGAAACATGTGTTATCTGGAGTCCTTATCTATTCTGCTACAATAAAAATCTTCTTCAAACATGTTTCTCATACCTTTACCAGTATTTCTATAATATATGTATAACTGACAAATGTTCATGAGTAGACCCCTGAGAACTGAAATATTTCTTTTTTCTAATTCTACATAATGATAATAATCAGATATCAGTATGTGATGAACACTCTCTTTGTACCTCTCCATGAAGTATTCGCAAACAAAACTTTACAAAAAGAGAGTGGAACATAGAGAATTACCAATTTAAACCTCCTCTGCTCACCAGTAGGATCTAATGGAAATGATTTTCCCAACATCTACAACTGAAATTAGTTCATTTTCCTACTTTTTATTGGTTTACCTCAGATTTCTCTGGTTCGGGTGGACTTTCTGGTTTCTCTGGTAAAGTGGCATTCATACTGAAAAATCAATTGTCACTCCAATCACAACACTACAAAAGGAAATGTATTTGTCAAGCTATAAAACGATACACAATATCACACTTCTGATGAATAAAACTGCGAAACACTGGTCGATTTAACAAAATAATGTGAAATTTTGACAATTTTTTTTCTTATTTGCATTAGTTACCCAGTTGTTCAACTGATTATTGATCATATATCTACAACCAAACACCAATTTGTGTTAATAACGAATTTCAGAGAGATACTTGTCATCATTTTATGATAAAAGCTGTCATATATGTCCCATGTTCTATCATGGTAACCTGCTAATTAGTGAATCACAAATTATTATTACATAAAATCAATTCTTATGGTGTCAAGGGTAATATTTTAAACTGGTTTACCAGTAATCTTTGGGACAGGGGGCAGAGAGTGACTGTATACCGGAGATATCTGGGCTGTGTAATTTTTTCCTTTAGGGTTCTACACTAGTATACATATAGAGTAAATTCTGTTAACATGTTAAATCACTGTACATGTATGATTGTAAACAATAACAGGATGATATTGATAGAGTATTTGACTGGTAAATATGCAAGTCAATATCAAAAAGTGTTGTACTATAACCTTTTCCTTAAAACACAATCCTATCCATTATTCTTCCTGGTGGGAAGACAGATTTTATCCACACCAGAAGTATAAAAGACCTAGGATTCTTGATATCACACCATTTAACTTCTCTCACCATATCAGAAAAGTTGTTTCTAAATGTTTGCAAATGCTTCGATTTTCAAAATGTTCATGTAAATATTTTAAAAATGTTCCTGTGATACCATGTTTGTACATAAACTTAATTTGAAGTACAAGTATATAGTACAAAGGCAACTAGAAATAGTACAAAGGCAACTAGAAACAGTACAAAGGTAACTAGAAACAGTACAAAGGTAACTAGATATAGTACAAAGGTAACTAGAAACAGTACAAAGGTAACTAGATATAGTACAAAGGCAACTAGAAACAGTACAAAGGTAACTAGATATAGTACAAAGGCAACTAGAAACAGTACAAAGGCAACTAGAAACAGTACAAAGGAAACTAGATATAGTACAAAGGTAACTAGAAACAGTACAAAGGCAACTAGATATAGTACAAAGGTAACTAGAAACAGTACAAAGGTAACTAGATATAGTACAAAGGCAACTAGAAACAGTACAAAGGCAACTAGATATAGTACAAAGGCAACTAGAAACAGTACAAAGGCAACCAGTACAAAGGAAACTAGATATAGTACAAAGGTAACTAGAAACAGTACAAAGGTAACTAGATATAGTACAAAGGCAACTAGAAACAGTACAAAGGCAACCAGATATAGTACAAAGGCAACTAGAAACAGTACAAAGGCAACCAGTACAAAGGCAACTAGAAACAGTACAAAGGCAACCAGTACAAAGGCAACTAGAAACAGTACAAAGGCAACTAGATATAGTACAAAGGTAACTAGATATAGTACAAAGGCAACTAGAAACAGTACAAAGGCAACTAGATATAGTACAAAGGCAACCAGATATAGTACAAAGGCAACTAGAAACAGTACAAAGGCAACTAGATATAGTACAAAGGCAACTAGATATAGTACAAAGGCAACCAGTACAAAGGAAACTAGAAATAGTACAAAGGCAACTAGAAACAGTACAAAGGCAACTAGATATAGTACAAAGGCAACTAGAAACAGTACAAAGGCAACTAGATATAGTACAAAGGCAACTAGATATAGTACAAAGGCAACCAGTACAAAGGAAACTAGAAATAGTACAAAGGCAACTAGAAACAGTACAAAGGTAACTAGATATAGTACAAAGGCAACCAGTACAAAGGAAACTAGAAATAGTACAAAGGCAACTAGAAACAGTACAAAGGCAACTAGATATAGTACAAAGGTAACTAGAAACAGCACAAAGGCAACTAGATATAGTACAAAGGCAACCAGTACAAAGGAAACTAGAAACAGTACAAAGGCAACCAGATATAGTACAAAGGTAACTAGATATAGTACAAAGGCAACTAGAAACAGTACAAAGGCAACTAGATATAGTACAAAGGCAACTAGATATAGTACAAAGGCAACTAGAAACAGTACAAAGGCAACCAGATATAGTACAAAGGCAACCAGTACAAAGGCAACTAGAAACAGTACAAAGGCAACTAGAAACAGTACAAAGGCAACTAGATATAGTACAAAGGCAACTAGAAATAGTACAAAGGCAACTAGATATAGTACAAAGGTAACTAGATATAGTACAAAGGCAACCAGATATAGTACAAAGGCAACCAGTACAAAGGTAACTAGATATAGTACAAAGGCAACTAGAAACAGTACAAAGGCAACTAGATATAGTACAAAGGCAACTAGAAACAGTACAAAGGCAACTAGATATAGTACAAAGGCAACTAGAAACAGTACAAAGGCAACTAGATATAGTACAAAGGCAACTAGAAACAGTACAAAGGCAACTAGATATAGTACAAAGGTAACTAGAAACAGTACAAAGGTAACTAGATATAGCACAAAGGCAACAAGAAACAGTACAAAGGCAACTAGATATAGTACAAAGGCAACTAGAAACAGTACAAAGGCAACTAGATATAGTACAAAGGTAACTAGAAACAGTACAAAGGCAACTAGATATAGTACAAAGGCAACTAGAAACAGTACAAAGGCAACCAGATATAGTACAAAGGCAAATAGAAACAGTACAAAGGCAACTAGAAACAGTACAAAGGTAACTAGAAACAGTACAAAGGTAACTAGAAATAGTACAAATGCAACTAGAAACAGTACAAAGGTAACTAGATATAGTACAAAGGTAACTAGATATAGTACAAAGGCAACCAGTACAAAGGTAACTAGATACAGTACAAAGGCAACTAGAAACAGTACAAAGGCAACCAGATATAGTACAAAGGCAACTAGAAACAGTACAAAGGCAACCAGATATAGTACAAAGGCAACCAGATATAGTACAAAGGCAACTAGAAACAGTACAAAGGCAACCAGATATAGTACAAAGGCAACTAGAAACAGTACAAAGGCAACTAGATATAGTACAAAGGCAACTAGAAACAGTACAAAGGCAACTAGATATAGTACAAAGGCAACTAGAAACAGTACAAAGGCAACTAGATACAGTACAAAGGCAACTAGAAACAGTACAAAGGTAACTAGATATAGTACAAAGGCAACTAGAAACAGTACAAAGGCAACTAGATATAGTACAAAGGCAACTAGAAACAGTAAAAAGGCAACTAGATATAGTACAAAGGTAACTAGAAACAGTACAAAGGAGTAGCACAAAGGCAACAAGAAACAGTACAAAGGCAACTAGATATAGTACAAAGGCAACTAGAAACAGTACAAAGGCAACTAGAAACAGTACAAAGGCAACCAGATATAGTACAAAGGCAACTAGATATAGTACAAAGGCAACCAGATATAGTACAAAGGCAACTAGATATAGTACAAAGGCAACCAGATATAGTACAAAGGCAACTAGAAACAGTACAAAGGCAACCAGATATAGTACAAAGGCAACCAGTACAAAGGCAACTAGAAATAGTACAAAGGCAACTAGATATAGTACAAAGGCAACCAGTACAAAGGTAACTAGATATAGTACAAAGGCAACAAGAAACAGTACAAAGGCAACTAGAAACAGTACAAAGGCAACTAGAAACAGTACAAAGGCAACCAGATATAGTACAAAGGCAACTAGAAACAGTACAAAGGTAACTAGATATAGTACAAAGGCAACTAGAAACAGTATAAAGGCAACCAGATATAGTACAAAGGCAAATAGAAATAGTACAAAGGAAACTAGATATAGTACACAGGGGTCAGATCGAAAGTTGCTGAAGTACTCGTCCATTGGACGAGTACACAGCAAACTTTACTCGTCCAAAATGAAAAAGTACTCGTCCATTAAAAGTGATTAGTTACTAGTAAATAATGTTCCTACTGATTGGTGTTTACAAGAGCTTTTTAGCATCTTAAGACACAAAGTATTTTTAAAAGCACCAGACCCACAGATAAATAAACTATATATTCCAAATATTTTGAATTACAGTTGCCAGTTATCTTTGAATTAATTACAAGAAAACAAGAGTATTTTCAAAAGCATGCATTTATTTACCAGTTGTATAAAGGAAATGATATGCATGCAGGCTGGTCTAGGTGGATTACAAAGTTCAGATATATCTCTTCCTGAAGATTCAAGAACTTCTAATTAAACATGATATTCACATAATCATTATTTGCAACACTCCTTACTTTGATGTTAATAATGGGGTAAATAATAATATGTCCACAATACTAGATCATATAGACAGTAACTAATACTACACAGATCAAGATTTATTTAGTAACATTAATTGTGATCAGATGGAGATTGTGTGAGGTCGACAGAACATTCTGATACAGGAGCTGAACCAACACTAGCACTTGATGAATTGGGCACTGCATCTACTACCCTCTTACTTCCACTACCTGAAACAATCAGTCTGTCCCTTTTTTTGGTGGTTGACATCCAACGTATAATGGAAGATTTAGGACTGAAATCCTGTAGAGAAATACCTGCAGCATGGATTCTCATCAAGCAACCTAGCATACTTTGACTAAGAGATGTTCTGTAGCAAGATTTAATTCTATTCATGGCCGAGAAACTTCTCTCGCATTCAGCAGTGGAAGGTGACATTGTGAGCATGATTTGCACAAGAAGCAAAATATTCTGCAGTCCCTCATAATTACCAGACAAAAACTGTGAATAAATATCCAAAGGGTGCTTATTCTGTTGCTTAACTAACCTGAATTTCAGTTCATTCCATTCTTGCATGACATTTTCAGTGTCAGTCCCCTCAGAAAAATGACATTTAAACACTTCAAGAAGACCCTGAATTTCACATTTGCCATATTGGAACAACTGCCCTTTGTCCCTGGGAAGATCTCTGTGATCAAATATGGC